AATCAAGGAAGCTGATGTTGCAAAAGGGGTAAGTTCGCTAATGAAACAGAGATCACAAACAATCAAAGATGTTAAACCTAAGACCCAATCTAACTGTTATTTTTTAAATACACTACCTAACAGAATACTCCATTCTACTGAATGTACAGCAATGCATGCAACCATATGACCTGTCTTTGTAATACTCATTTGTGCTTTATTGTTATCTGTTTACAATAATGTTTTATCACTGATTACATCATTGCTTAGTTAATCTTAAGTTAATTTTAAGCCTGCCCGTAATGCTATACATACAAGTGGCTTTGGCATGCTGCTCTTACCTGTATTTTTTTGTACCTCTGTATGTATGTTCAAATTATTAAATAAATATATAAATAAATAAATAAATAAATGTTCAGTAGTAGTTGTTGGTGTGGCTTAACGAAAAACAGTTAGCGGGAGACAGTGTTTTGGAGGCGATAATTTGCGAAAAGGCAAGGTAGCTGCATGCGGATCTTGCAAAGAAAATGCCTGGAACGAGTGCTGCTATTAGTGAATTTAAGGCTAGCAGAGGCTGGCTCAACAAATTCAGGAAACGAACTGGCATACATAGTGTGGTAAGGCATGGCGAGGCTGCAAGTTTGGACAAACGTGGTGCCGAAGAATTCATTGATGAATTCAAGGAGTACGTAGAGGTTGAAGGATTCCTCCCTCAACAAGTCTTCAATTGTGACGAAACAGGCCTCTTTGGAAGAAACTGCCAAAGAGGACCTACATCACGCAGGAGGAAAAGACACTGTCAGGACACAAGCCTATGAAGGATAGGCTAACTCTTTTGTTCTGTGGTAATGCTAGTGGGGATTTCAAAGTGAAGCCTTTACTGGTATATCACTCTGAAAATTCCAAAGTGTTCCAGAAAAATAATGTCATCAAGAGTAAATTGTGTGTGATGTTGAAGGCTAACAATAAGGCATGGGTCATGAGGCAAATTTTCACTGAGTGGGTCAATGAAGTGTTTGGCTCTGAGTGTAAAGAAATACAGTAGACCGTTATTTAACTGTCCAAACGTAGATCTACGTTTGCTCGCGTAGCACTCCGAACGTAGATCTACGTTTTTTTTACATTGTTTCTTATGGAGAAAATCAAGGTCGGAGAGCTACACATGCAAACATAGATCTACGTTTGGACAGTTTAAGGGTTAACACAGTAGTTACGCTCCTGAAAACACCGTGTTAGGTAAAACCGTGTTAGATGAACTGAAGAACTTATGGGGAAAATAGGGTTACATTCCCGAGAGCCCCAAAAAAGCCAAACAACTTTTTTAGGCCTCCACATCTTACAAAAATAAAAGTGAATATGTAATTGTAGTTCATTGTTGTAATGCATTATATTGTTTTTACTGCTTATAACTACAAATGTAACAGAAATATTATTATTTCTTACCTTATATTGTGGGTGGTGATGACTGTGGGTGCTGGTGTTTGTGGATGAATGTGAAGAGAGTGGAGAGTTATGCTGTGGCCCTACTGGGCTGAGATGGATGGTAGAGGTTCTGGTGCCAAAGTTGATGGTTGTACCAGAGTGCCTAACTTTGTCATTCAGTTAATCAAGTCATTCAGTAAGTCAGTCAAGTTATTTAGTAAATCTCAAGTCATTCAGTAAGATAGTCAAGTGATTCAGTAAGTCAATCAAGTTGTTCAGTCAGTCAAGTGATTCTGTAAGTCAATTGATTCAGTAAGTCTCAAGTCATTCAATAAGTCAGTCAAGTCATTCAGTAAGTCAGTCAAGTCATTCAGTAAGTCAGTCAAGTCATTCAGTCAGTCAGTCAAGTTGTTCAGTAAGTCAATCAAGTCATTCAGTAAGTCAGTCAAGTCATTCAGTAAGTCAGTCAGGTCATTCAGTCAAATCATTCAGTAAGTCAAGTCATTCAGTAAATCAGTCAAGTCATTCAGTAAGTCAGTCAGGTCATTCAGTAAGTCAGTCAAGTCATTCAGTAAGTCAGTCAAGTCATTCAGTCAGTCAGTCAAGTCATTCAGTCAGTCAGTCAAGTCATTTAGTAAGTCAGTCAAGTCATTAAGTCAGTAAATTCATTCAGTAAGTCAGCCAGTCACACAAACTTATGTTTGCCTATTTTTTGTGTGTATTGGCAGTTTGGGGGATATGTTGTGTATCTTTATACGTATATGCTTCTAAACTGTTGTATTCTGAGCACCTCTGCAAAAACAGTGATAATGTGTGAGTGTGGTGAAAGTGTTGAATGATGATGAAAGTATTTTCTTTTTGGGGATTTTCTTTCTTTTTTGGGTCACCCTGCCTCGGTAGGAGACGGCCGACTTGTTGAAAAAAAAAAAAAAAAAAAGTAACACTTCATTATGGCCACAGGTTATGTCTTGTCTAATATCTCTGTTTCTTCATTAATTTTAAGACTTAAATGCTTACACCTTTTCTTGCCACTTTGAGCAACACTGGTATGCCTACTGGGTGTCATGATTGCTTGGCAGATACAAGATATAGCAATTAAAAGATCAAAACACAATTCACAATCACAACCTTGTAGCAGAGAAGTTGGATTGGACACACATGAAGTACAAATGCTGGGATGGTGGGGTGGTGTCGGGGGGTGGCTGGGGACGGGGGGAGGTCTTCCCTGCTGATCCACAATAAGGCAGCCGCTTGAGGAAAAGGGAAGTTTTATTTCCTTCCCCCAAACTGAACCTTGTTAAATTCATCTTATGACGTGTTACATAAAATTGTGCTGCAATTCTTCAATCATGCTATGCCCAAATCGTGCTAAATAAACTTGTGGTAAATGACGGTCTACTGTACCTCCTGGAAAATCAATTGCCACTCAAGTGCCTCCTGATAATGGACATTGCTCCTGCTCATCCTCCAGATTTGGAAGACCAATTGTTGGAGAAGTTTAGTTTCATCACAATGAAGTTCTTGCCCCCTAATACCACTCCTCTCATCCAGCCCATGGACCAGCAGGTCATTTCAACCTTCAAAAGACTCTACACCAAAGCAGTTTCAAATGTGCTTTCAAGTGACCTTAGACACTGAATTGACCCTAAGAGATCTGGAGGAATCACTTCAATATCCTCAATTGCATAAGCCTTATAGATAAGGCTTGGCAGGGAGTAACTTCCAGGACGATGAACTCTGCTTGGAGAAAATTGTGGCTAGAATGTGTCCTCGAGAAGGATTTTGAAGGGTTTCAGGCTGACCCTGACAACCCTACACCTATTGTGGAATCTATTGTGTCTTTGAGGAAATCCATGGGGTTGGATGTGAGTGGCCAGGATGTGGAAGAGTTGGTGGATGACCACAGGGAAGAGCTAACCACTGAAGAGCTGCAAAACCTTCAACTGGAACAGCAAGACCATAGCTGAGGAAACTGCTTCAGAGGAGGAGGGAGAGGGGAGAATGTGCTTTCTTCAGTGATTAAGGACATGTGTGCAAAGTGGAGTGAGTTGCGAAGTTTTGTGGAGAAATATTACCCTAACAAAGCTGTTGCAAGCTGTGTCTGCAACATGTTCAATGACAATGCCTTGTCCCATTTTAGGCAAATCTTTAAGAGACGTCAGAAACAGACCTCTCTGGGTAGATTTTTTGTGCGACAGGGGTACAATGACTCAAGCTGGTCCTAGTGCCAGTAAAAGACAAAGAAGGGAAGTAACCCTGGATGGGCCTTGATACCTGAAGTCCTTATGGAAGGGAATTCCCCTTCTAAACAATAACCTCTCCTCCTCCCTCTCCCCTCCTTGCTATCTTCCATACACCAACAAGAGTTTTCAATAAAGGTAAAAGTGATGTTAAATATTCATTTATCCATTTCATTAGTAATTTACATTTATTTCTCATTGTTTTCTGTATGTAAAACTATAGTTATTCTCTATAAGATGTATTTTTTTTAATATTTTTGGGTGTCTGGAATGGATTAATTGGATTTACATTATTTCTGAGGGGAAATACGCTTCATTTTCGTACGATTCTTTTTTGTAAACCCTTTCGGGTGGATTAATCATAAAAACCCTAGTTTCCACTTATTAAATTTATTATACTGTATAATAGGGAATTTGTGCCATGTGGGGGGTAATTCTCCACCAACCAAAAAGTACCCATTTAGACAAAATTTAGAATACTGACTGTAAAGAGATTCCAAATACATGAGGTAATTATATTTTGGAAACCCTCCTTAATAATGGGCATTTTAATCTTAAGGGGGGAAATTTAACCCACATAGCCAACTACAGTTTAAAAGGCAGTTTTTGGGTGTGTTATGTCTGGTGAATATAGATTATACACTGTTTGGGTGCTTTTGTGTTTTACAAATTTTTTAAATAAAATGGTACAGTATTGAATCTACAAGGAAAAACAATATTCTTAAAACTGCTGTCTGACATTTTTTAATGAAGGCCAAATAAAATTATGTGGGTAAGGTTAAAAAAGAAACACTCACCATCAGTCCTTTCCAACACTATCTCGATGCCCCTCCAAATGTAAAAAACCCCCCCCTCCTGCAAATGCAGGCACTGGGTTCCCCTCTCCAGGAAATAAGTCCACTACCTGTTTTTCCCCAAATTCCCCTCACAAATATTACCTTGCTCACACTCCAACAGTACACTCTAAAATCAAAACTATTCGAAGGGGCAATACTACAGATTACAACAAGTTCAAACAAATTTTTTTAATTGTTTTTGGGTTAATCTCAAAATTGCACATTGCCTATTTTAAAACCCAAGAATTTCCTCTTTTGAATGGTCTTACAAAAGTTACAAAATTAAAAAGATTTCCTATTAAAAAGCAAGATGAACAAATAATACATTTATATTTCCTTCCCTTCCTTGGATAAACCTGATTGCCTATTCCCCAGGGGATGTATGACCCCAAAGGGTTTTTGCACTTGTCACTAAATATAATTCCATCTTCCAGACAAATTTAATTAGGTTAAAACTAAATAAAAGTAATGCAATCTTTACCCAATAAAGCCAAGTTTAGCTATGTGAAACTAAGTGAACTTTTTAAGTCAATATTTTACACAATATAATTTTTTTCACTAATGTATATACTGTATAAAAATCCAAAGTGAAGAGAACGTTCAGCTTAAAAGTTAAATTCCAAATTTAAGAGGATATCAAATAAAAAGAAATTATATTACTGTGCTAATGAATAATACTTATCAGTTATAAACAATATGTAAAACAAAGATTTGAAATTAAAGTAAATTTTCAGTTTCAGATACAACGGAAATATACTTTGGCAATACACTGACTAGAATACATAAACAACCTCACATGGCAGCACAGAAAGCAAAATAACAGAAATCCTTTATTCTTTTATAGTCTCAGGAACTACAAAATTATTTATAAGTCATAAAATGAGAATAAATAGTAGATAGTCTTTTAAATTTACCCAAGTAAAATATCAGAGTGTAAGTAGTCTGTGGGATTAATTTTATACATTTTGTGTTATGCCATTTCACTGAAATTCAAATAGCATAACATTTATCAATTTTATTATGCCTTATTCCATTTAAGATATTGCTGCCTTAAGCTTGAAAGTAAAATGCTGAAATAATATCTAAATATTTAATCAGACTGAAGACCTGGGCACATTTGATCACCTGCCCTTAATATTGTGATGTACAGGTCAGGTACTGACTGTTCTGTGAAGTCTTGAGAAAAAATAGATAAAAGCTTTAGTTACTATTTCTGTATTTTTCAAAATAATTTATTTGAGAATCTGCATATTTCTTATAAATTTTATATACAGCTTTATATTTTAAACAAATCACCTGAAAATATACACTCAGATTCCCTAAAGATTAAGAAGAAAATGTCCTGGTTACATACTTAGGAAATAATTAAATTCTTGTTACAACATTATGTATTAAGGAAAGAATTAAATTTTTGAAACTTATGAAAACATGTTTAGGCCATTACTGGAAGTTTGAAAAGAAAATGGCCAAAGATTCTGATAGGACCCTTTGTGACTGTAATGTAACAGGTCATAAAGTGTCCATCACCTTGGATAAAACTACACAGGAGGATTGTGGTATCGTTCATATGACACAAGAAATCCAACTATACAGTAGCACACAGATCAATCCACTTTAAGACAATAATCTAAAAAAGTAGCATTTCTGTGGGGCAATTTATTTTCATAAATGTATATTATATTAACATTTGGCTCATCATGATTATGCTGTGTGGTCACTGAATATAAAGTATATAAAGTAACTATTTTGTTTAGTTAGTTGCCTAAGTAGTTAAAACACCCATAGCAATTAACACTCATTATGTTGCTCCATATTAGTGAGAAACCAATCATGCAACACACTATGACAAACACGAGGACAGTATAGAAAGTCTAAAAGATGAGCTACAAAATGGCTCTTGAGCTAAAAATTGAGTTAAGAAAGGCTAAAAATGCTAGAAATGACCTCACTGGGTGATAAGTAAAGAAATGACATGATAACCATATACAGTTTAAGGTCTCAGATAGAGATTTCTTAGCACCATCAACAGGAAGAACAAGATGTATAATTGTAAACTAACAAGAAAGCAGTGCCTGAAAGATACTAATTTATTTACTAACAAGAGTGATAGAACAATGGAATGAATTACAAGTCAGTAAGTGCTACAACTGGAAACTTGAAAATATTATTGATAGATTAAACATTGAAGATGGAATACCACAAAGATACCTCTGCTCCTGTAATTACAAATAAAGAATCACAAGCTCTAGTCTGTTTGGAAGCCCATAAGTACTTCCGGTAGCTTCATCCTACATAATACATTCCACAACCTTAACTTATTTTGGCAATAAAGTTCTTCCTGAAATACTGCTGACTCGATCTGAGAGCATTGGTCATTACAGGTTTATTTTTCTATCACCATGCCGCTTTTGCACAATTTCCTGCTGTGTTTACTCTATTAGCCAACTTCTGAAAGTGTTATCAGTAACAAGGATGCTCTCTACATTTTTTACTTTAGAGATTGAATAATTTATGAGTTAGCACTTTTATGAATATTATTAATTGGTATACTCTTATTTCCCAATGCTTTCCCTTTCATTTTTTTTCAACTTTTCCTCACTTCACTTGTTACACATACAACTGTAAGCCAAGTGACCTAGTATCTTCATATTACCAGTGATATTTAGGGACCGACATGAAGTTCAAGAACAAAATTATACAAGACAATGAAATGCTTCATCAGCCAACTCATTATTTAATGCATTACCAATCAAACCAGATTAACAACAATTTCTTAATGCAACTGCAAATTAGATGTAAAATATTAAAACCTTAACTTGAGTATATTAGTTCTGATAGAAATAATGCACAACAGGTTTTATGGAAACCTATTTTTTATTTTCAGAAATGACCTATCTTAAATTCACAAATATACTGTAATACAATGAATATTCTGCAGAAATGGGCTGGAACTCCTGCTACAAATAAAAGTCCTGAGGATGTACAATAATCCTATAAATAGTCAGCTGGTCCCTCAACAGTGGTACCATATGATTATCCCTTATCTAAAAAGCATAAGGGTAAAAAAAATTTAATGACACCAAAAATATGCAAATGAAATATGTCTGCTCCTAGTTACAAAGCTATAAACATATTTAAGTCATACATTCTACGTCACAGCTACACCTATATAAAATTATATCAATTTACCACCAATTAACTTACGAACATGCCAGTTATGAATGCTGCATTCTACATATGTTGTGTGCTTCATAAAGCCCAATCCTTTGTAACTGTTTCCACTTAGTTTAAAAAATGTAAAACATTTTATAAGATAGCCGATGGAATTGTTAACTTTTTTGTACTGCCATTTATCACATTCTTCAAATCGATACTGTCTTCTTCAACACAACCCAGTGTGTTCTGTGGAATCCACTTGAATGGCTATGTCATTTACACGGCCCAATGTGTTCTATGGAATCCATCAGCTGAAACAGCAAAAATTAGTAAAAAAAATCCAATCACGCAATATTTTTTGAGGTCAATTTAGCCTTCCATACTTAAAGCCTCAATGTCAGGAAAATTTAACCCAATCAGAGCACATTTTATAGAGTAAAGCCTCAACTTATGATGTAAATCTGTCCCTTAATACACATAAGTTTGTTTGGTATTTGGAATCTTTTTCTCATAGAAATCCATGTTATAATTAGAGATTCATTCCCAAGTTATAATATTAATACTGCATTCTTACACAGTATTTTATATTCAATACTGTTCCCCTTTATGTTTTTTTTCGTCAAACCGGCCATATCCCACCGAGGCAGGGTGACCTAAAAAGAAAAACAAAAGTTTCTTATTTAACTTTAGTAATGTATACAGGAAAAGGGGTTACTAGCCCCTTGCTCCTGGTATGTTAGTCACCTCTTACAACACACATGGCTTACGGAGGAAGAATTCTGTTCCACTTTCCCATGGAGATAAGAGGAAATAAACAAGAACAAGAACTAATAAGAAAATAGAAGAAAACCCAGAGGGGTGTGTATATATATGCTTGTACATGCAAGTGTAGTGTGACCTAAGTGCAAGAAGGAGTAGCAAGACGTACCTGAAATCCTGCATGTTTATGAGACAGAAAAAAGACACCAGCAATCTTATGTAAAACAATTACACTCACTTGGCAGGATGGTAGTACCTCCCTAGGTGGTTGCTGTCTACCAATCTACTACTGTTCCTTTTTACAACTGTTAATATGGTAGTACATATTAAACATTGTTTAATTAAGCCTTTGACTCTCGCAAGCCCATTTCTGAAACTGTCATTCTGTCGCAAAATTTTTGGAAAAAAAAAAAAATTCTTATGAAATGAGAGAGAATTTTTTCCCAATGCTAATGACACCAAAAGTACGAAATTTGATTGAAAACTTACACAATTACACTCCCGCGAAGTTAGTGATCTCAGCGATATACGTATACACATCGGCGATTTCGCCGACTTTGAGCCCTATTTTCGGTCAATTCCATTGCTCCAGTCGGCCAAACTCATAGCTATTTCTTTAGAACTCCATTTTTTCCATCAATTGAGTACAAGAAACTGCCCATTTACCAATTTCAACTACCCAATAGTGGTCAAAAATTGGCAATTTGGCCAATTTCATGCAAATTAAAAAAGATGCCAATTTCAAAATAGGGTCCAGAATAAACAATGCAGACAGTCTTGGCACTAAAATAACATGTCCTCCGTGCATTAGTCATGTCTCCAGGCCCCTCTTATATTACTCTTGCTTTCTATTTTGAATTTTTATTCACACAAAAAATAGAAGATTTACTGTTATGCAGACTACTGCTGTATTGCAAAAATGGTATAAATAATGTCAGTGGACTAGTAAAAGATTATTAGACTCCCTAGTTGATGTGTATTGGACGTGGGGTGTGATTTGCTTTCTCTTAAAGATTGGTAAAAATCGAACATTGCCACTAATTTGAGCTCAATTTCAAGGTTGTTTTCATCATGAGACTAATCAAAATCATCTCTATTTCTGTAATATGTTCTCCATTCTATCAAATAAAACCAAGAAAACGAGAATACAACCTTAAATACTATACGAAAATACACCTCAAAGTCGGCATTTTAATCCGAAAACACGGTTGGAGTTTTTTTTCTCGTTATGCACTGCGTGCTGTAGGATTTTTTTTATACAGTGCACACTGACCACACAGACCCATTCTCTCACATGTGGGCCTACCAGCTTCCTCCTGCTTGATTTGAAGCCGCTAGAATTATTGAGTATATATATGTCCGAAACACTGGCTTGTAAGACGTATATACACGTACATATACGGCCAAAACAGTCAAATGTATAAATGTTAATTAAATAAAACATCCACAATACAGCATAAAGTACTGTGTAGTCCAGATGTGTAGAGGCAGGAAGGCTGCAGCTAGACTGCCTGCCCTTGCCACCCCCTGCCCATCCTCCCTCTTTATATCTAACACTATAGTCTACATATGTTCACCACTTTCTCAATGCTGTGGTTGAGTGTGTGGTGTGGGAGGAATGAGATGATGTGTAAGGGTGGGCAACAGCCAGACTTCCTCCTCCTCTCACTCATATTCACTCCCACCCTCTCTGGCATCACATTTAAATAAAAATTCTTTACATATGCTCATCACTTCCTCATGAGTATATGTGGGAACGTAGTGGTAATTAGTTTGTGTGGGAGGATATGGTGTGAGTGAGTAGAGCTCCTACTATCCCATATGCACACACACACCTCACCAACTGACTTATCCAATTTATCCAATACATAACAGAAGTATTGGCAGCTTCCACAGAATGCAATTATGTAATCTATATGAATGTACAATAATGATTTAATTAACATGAACTCTACATGTCAATAAAATGAATAAAATACCATTGCATTTAGTAAAAAAATACTGAAAATTACATATAGTTCAGTGTTAAGAAAATCACAAACATCAAGTCTATAGTAAATAAGCAAATAATAATTATTTCTACAATAAAATGGTACAATTGAGGCAGACCTAGCTGACATCACTGGCATACTATATAGAAAACCCCTAGTTACGCAGGGCATTTCGGGTAACCTAGGATAATCTTGTCCCCCCATGATGTGGCCCAAAACAGTCAACTAACACCCAGATACTTACTGGTAGATGAACAGGAGCAGCAGGTGAAAGGAAATATGCCCAACATTTCACAGTGCCAGGGATCAATCCCAGATCCTTACTGTGTGAGCTGAGCATGCTAACAATCAAGCCCAAACATGAGTACCTGACTGATCTCTGCCAAATAGATGTGAATTATCTATACAGGAAAAAAAAAAATTATTATTATTGCAATTATAACTAAGCACTAAACCCACAAGGGTCATACAGTGCTGCATGAAAAAATAAAATACAAATGTATTTTATTAAAAAACTGAGGAAAAAACATAATTTAAAATTGTAAATATTAATCTACAGCTCTTAACCCTTTCAGGGTCCGTGCCGTAGATCTACAGCTTTACGTTGAGGGTCCAAACCATAGATCTACACCATGAGCTCAGCTCACTCTGATAAGCTGTGAGCGGTAAATTTGGGCCTAGATATGAGAGAATACATCTATGTGGTATGTGTGCACCACATAAAACAAATCCTGCAGCACACACTGCATAATGAGAGAAAAAAACTGAGACCATAATTTTCGATTAAAACAGCAACTTTGCAGTGTTTTTTCTTATGCTTTTTATAGTTGTATTTGCAATTTCTTGGTCTCATTTGATAGAATGGAAGATATATTACATAAAAAGAAATGATTTTGATTGGTTTTAGTACTGAAAATGGCTTGAAACTTAGCTCAAAGTATCGGAAATGTTAAATTTTTGCCGATGTTCAAGAGTAAACAAATGACCTCACACGTCTAATACATGCCAGCTGGTGGGTCTAATATATGTTCACAAGTGTGCTGATATTGTTTATACAATTATTACAATATTGCATGACAGTAAATCTTCTATTTTTTTGGTTTGAATAAAAATTCATTATGTGAATTAAAAATCAAAATGGAATTCATTTATAAAGCCTGAAAACATAACTAATGAACAGAGAAAATGTTAGTTTAGTGCCAGGAATGCCTGCATTGTTTATTCTGGACACCATTTTGAAATTGGAATATTTTGAACTTTGCATTAAATTGGCCAAATTACCAATTTCCAATCACTTTATTTTGTAGTTGAAACAGTTGACTTGGCGATTTCTTGTGCTCAATTGATAGAATAGAAGTAATACTAGTGACATAGCTAAGAATCTGGTCGACTGGTATAATGTAATTGGCCTAAAATGGGAGTCAAAATCAACAAAATTGCCGATGTGTAAATATCGCTGACACATCAAAATTCGCGAGAGCATAATTTTGTCAATTTTCCATCAAATTTCGTACTTTTTGCTTTATTACCTTCAGAAAAAGATTCTCTACCATTTCATAAGAAAAAATATAATTATTTTTTTTAAATTCTTGGACACTGGTGTGCACTTTGAAATTTGGTCTCTGGACCCTGAAAGGGTTAATTTCTACCAATAACCGTGAGCTCTCTATATATGAATAAAGTGAACATACATAAAATATGAATGCAATGGCAAAAGAACTGAGAAAAAATATTTTTATTTAAAATACTTTTAATATTTCCAAATACTGCAATTTCAGATCAGTGTCTGTATGTAATTAATCAGCTCCAAAGTGCAAATCAGTTAGAAAGACATAAATCTGGGCCCAACTGTATACTGCACCAGATAAAACTTATTTTAATTTTAGGTAAGGAAAGTTAAATAATTTCACTATGACAAATGTGTCAAATTGGCGTTAGAAAGTCCTTGCTGAGAAAATCAGAGTATCCTAAAATACCTTTTTTCCATCATGTATAAATGTTTACCTTCCACTGATTAACACTTGCTTAATCAACTTATGAGTGATTAAGCTCATCTGCAAAGAACTGCCATGTTATTACATAGGCAAAATATGGGGTCTTTATTTAATGAGGCAGAGTATATCACAGTACTGGTATGTAGTAAAAATAATGAATCAATGTACAGTATTTCCAACACTTACCAAGAGTTAGGAGAATGTCTCTTGACTGGAAAAAGATAATGAACTTATTTTAATTACAGTCTGATGCAGTAATGTATAAATCATAATCAGTATAAAAACTACTAACTGAAAATTACCGTCACTTTAAAATATGTACTGTACAGTATACATATTTTGTCTTGAGCTCATTAATTTCCAAATAAAAATGCAAAGTATTAATACTGATTGACTAGCTATATTATATTGGGATTCAGAATTTGAATGTCACATTAATAATTCTTGACTAGATGCCCCTGGGGCTCAGAGGCTTTCAAAGGACTCCATCTGCTACTTCAACTATTCCATTTTTGCACTCATGAAATATGCATTTCTGTATTATAAGCTCTTGGGGGTTCACCTGAATATGCCACACATCATTACCCTGACACTTCTAAAGTCCAGCATGATCCATACTCACACATACTGATATCAGTAACAACCTTCTTCACCTCTGAACATTAGGTGTTGTTCACTTACTATGAAAAATATCACCAAAGACTTCCAAAGAGGTACTGGAACCCATGGGATCCCAATGATTAATTAATGATAAAATGTCTTTCGTGAAAGTCAAAATGCAATTTTCTGCTGTGGGTTCCAAAGGCCTCACATGTTATCAAACTACCTAGACTCTAGATCACATCGTATGTTATACGTATATATTTTTTGCTGGGTCAATGAAAAAAAATCATTTATAAATATAAATGACTGAATAAGTTTTATTTGGATCCTTTTTGTAATCAGCATGATATGATTCAGAACAAATGAGAAATGTGACAATTACAAAAAAAATACTACGCTTACAATGAGAAATATAATGAGTAAAAATGTCAAACATAAGCTAATGCTTTGACAGTATAATCAATTACTGAATGGCAGATGAGAAAAACTGGCACAAAATTAATGCGCACAAGATTAATGTTGAGTAGACTTCAGGATGTACATGTTTATAGAGGGGCCACAGATATATCAGATCACTTTCTAGTTGTAGCTATACTGAGAGTAAAAGGTAAATGGGATACAAGGAGAATAGAAGCATCAGGGAAGAGAGAGGTGAAGGTTTATAAACTAAAAGAGGAGGCAGTTAGGGAAAGATATAAACAGCTATTGGAGGATAGATGGGCTAATGAGAGCATAGGCAATGGGGTTGAAGAGGTATGGGGTAGGTTTAAAAATGTAGTGTTAGAGTGTTCAGCAGAAGTTTGTGGTTACAGGGAAAGTGGGGGCGGGAGGGAAGAGGAGCGATTGGTGGGAAAGATGATGTAAAGAGAGTAATAAGGGAGAAAAAGTTAGCATATGAGAAGTTTTTTACAAAGTAGAAGTGATGCAAGGAGGGAAGAGTATATGGAGAAAAAGAGAGATTAACAAGTTAAGGAAGCCTAGAGAACAAATGGATTTGTCAGTTAAAAATAGGAGAGGAGAGTTATTAAATGGAGAGTTAGAGGTATTGGGAAGATGGAGGGAATATTTTGAGGAATTGTTAAATGTTGATGAAGATAGGGAAGCTGTGATTTCGTGTATAGGGCAAGGAGGAATAACATCTTGTAGGAGTGAGGAAGAGCCAGTTGTGAGTGTGGGGGAAGTTCGTGAGGCAGTAGGTAAAATGAAAGGGGGTAAGGCAGCCGGGATTGATGGGATAAAGATAGAAATGTTAAAAGCAGGTGGGGATATAGTTTTGGAGTGGTTGGTGCAATTATTTAATAAATGTATGGAAGAGGGTAAGGTACCTAGGATTGGCAGAGAGCATGCATAGTTCCTTTGTATAAAGGCAAAGGGGACAAAAGAGAGTGCAAAAATTATAGGGGATAAGTCTGTTGAGTATACCTGGTAAAGTGTATGGTAGAGTTATTATTGAAAGAATTAAAAGTAAGATGGAGAATAGGATAGCAGATGAACAAGGAGGCTTTAGGAAAGGTAGGGGGTGTGTGGACCAGGTGTTTACAGTGAAACATATAAGTGAACAGTATTTAGATAAGGCTAAAGAGGTCTTTGTGACATTTATGGATTTGGAAAAGGCGTATGACAGGGTGGATAGGGGGGCAATGTGCAGATGTTGCAGGTGTATGGTGTAGGAGGTAGGTTACTGAAAGCAGTGAAGAGTTTTTACGAGGATAGTGAGGCTCAAGTTAGAGTACATAGGAAAGAGGGAAATTATTTCCCAGTAAAAGTAGGCCTTAGACAAGGATGTGTGATGTCACCATGGTTGTTTAATATATTTATAGATGGGGTTGTAAGAGAAGTAAATGCGAGGGTCTTGACAAGAGGCGTGGAGTTAAAAGATAAAGAATCACACATAAAGTGGGAGTTGTCACAGTTGCTCTTTGCTGATGACACTGTGCTCTTGGAGATTCTGAAGAGAAGTTGCAGAGATTGGTGGATGAATTTGGTAGGGTGTGCAAAAGAAGAAAACTGAAAGTGAATACAGGAAAGAGTAAGGTTATGAGGATAACAAAAATATTAGGTGATGAAAGATTGGATATCAGATTGGAGGGAGAGAGTATGGAGGAGGTGAATGTAAATTTAGATATTTGGGAGTGGACGTGTCAGCGGATGGGTCTATGAAGGATGAGGTGAATCATAGAATTGATGAGGGGAAAAGGGTGAGTGGTGCACTTAGGAGTCTGTGGAAACAAAGAATTTTGTCCTTGGAGGCAAAGAGGGGAATGTATGAGAGTATAAGTTTTACCAACACTCTTATATGGGTGTGAAGCATGGGTGATGAATGTTGCAGCGAGGAGAAGGCTGGAGGCAGTGGAGTTGTTATGTCTGAGGGCAATGTGTGGTGTGAATATAATGCAGAGAATTCGTAGTTTGGAAGTTAGGAGGAGGTGCGGGATTACCAAAACTGTTGTCCAGAGGGCTGAGGAAGGGTTGTTGAGGTGGTTCGGACATGTAGAGAGAATGGAGCAAAACAGAATGACTTCAAGAGTGTATCAGTCTGTAGTGGAAGGAAGGCGGGGTAGGGGTCAGCCTAGGAAAGGTTGGAGGGAGGGGGTCAGCCTAGGAAAGGTTGGAGGGAGGGGGTAAAGGAGGTTTTGTGTGCGAGGGGCTTGGACTTCCAGCAGGCATGCGTGAGCGTGTTTAATAGGAGTGAATGGAGACGAATGGTTTTTAATACTTGACGTGCTGTTGGAGTGTGAGCAAAGTAACATTTATGAAGGGGTTCAGGGAAACCGGCAGGCCGGACTTGAGTCCTGGAGATGGGAAGTACAGTGCCTGCACTCTGAAGGAGAGGTGTTAATGCTGCAGTTTAAAAACTGTAGTGTAAAGCACCCTTCTGGCAAGACAGTGATGGAGTGAATGATGGTGAAAGTTTTTCTTTTTCGGGCCACCCTGCCTTGGTGGGAATCGGCCAGTGTGATAATAATAAAAAAAAAAATAAATAATAATAAAAAAAAAGATTAATGGGAATGAAGAAACTGGTTTAATTTCAAAATACAGTGGAACCTCTACTTGCGAGTTTAATCCACTTCATGACCTTGCTCGCAACTGGATTTGCTCGTTTGCTGAGTCAATTTTCCTCCTTTAAATTAACTGAAATGCAATTAATCCGTTCCAGTGGAATTCTGTAATTCAATAATTTCGCTAATATCAACTCTACGGCTTATTTAACTATCACAGTTCATCTAATATGACATAAACAATATAAATAACATAGAAACCTGATATATACTCTAGAATGAATAAAATATGTCATTATATGTGTGGCAGTGGCGGCGGCCGAAGAGAGCGTGTCTGGATACAGGACAAAATACTCATTGAATATTTCGCTACCATCAACTCTACGGCTTATTTATCCATCACAGTTCATCTAATATGAAATAATTTTTTTTTTTTTTCAACAGGTTGGCTGTCTCCCACCGAGGCAGGGTGACCCAAAAAAGAAAGAAAATCCCCAAAAAGAAAATGCGTTCATCATCATTCAACACTTTCACCACACTCACACATAATCACTGTTTTTGCAGAGGTGCTCAGAATACAACAGCTTAGAAGCATATATGTATAAAGATACACAACATATCCCTCGAAACTGCCAATATCCCAAACCCCTCCTTTAAAGTGCAGGCATTGTACTTCCCATTTCCAGGACTCAAGTCCGACTATATGAAATTAACCGGTTTCCCTGAATCCCTTCACTAAATATTACCCTGCTCACACTCCAACAGATCGTCAGGTCCCAAGTACCATTCGTCTCCATTCACTCCTATCTAACACGCTCACGCACGCTTGCTGGAAGTCCAAGCCCCTTGCCCACAAAACCTCCTTTACCCCCTCTCTCCAACCCTTTCGAGGACGACCCCTACCTCGTCTTCCTTCCCCTATAGATTTATATGCTTTCCATGTCATTCTACTTTGATCCATTCTCTCTAAATGACCAAACCACCTCAACAACCCCTCTTCTGCCCTCTGACTAATGCTTTTATGAACTCCACACCTTCTCCTAATTTCCACACTCCGAATTTTCTGCATAATATTTACACCACACATTGCCCTTAGACAGGACATCTCCACTGCCTCCAACCGTCTCCTCGCTGCTGCATTTACCACCCAAGCTTCACACCAATATAATAGTGTTGGTACTACTATACTTTCATACATTACCTTCTTTGCCTCCATAGATAACGTTTTTTGACTCCACATATACCTCAATGCACCACTCACCTTTTTTCCCTCATCAATTCTATGATTAACCTCATCCTTCATAAATCCATCCGCCAACACGTCAACTCCCAAGTATCTGAAAACATTCACTTCTTCCATACTCCTCATCACCTTACTCTTTTCTATGTTCGCTTTCAACTTTCTACCTTTACACACATTCCCAAACTCATCCACTAACCTTTGCAATTTTTCTTTAGAATCTCCCATAAGCACAGTATTATCAGCAAAAAGTAACTGTGTTAATTCCCATTTTGAATTTGATTCCCCATAATTTAATCCCACCCCTCTCCCAAACACCCTAGCATTTACTTCTTTTACAACCCCATCTATAAATATATTAAACAACCA